ACAGTCTTTTCTCTGGACGAGGAGTCCGGGTGACAAACAGTCAAAGGGGCGTTCCATGACAGCTCATTTCATGTAATCGTGCATGGTCCTCTGCTTCTTCTGGCGGGTTGGACATGGCTGCTCTCCGTGTTTCTGTTTCTTGGAGGCTTTTGGCTTTGGCAGCAAACAATCTAATTCATGTGCTGGACTGGAGCATGCCCTAGCACTGCCTACCCACTGCAAAGGCCTTCCTTTGACGGCATCTTTTGGTGCCAAAGGAGGTGGCACTCGCGTCCCCAACCTCATGCGGGTCGAAGAAACAAGCACCCCAAGGATGGATCCTGCAACAGGAACACTGATCGTGTTCCCCGCCACTTTGTTGAGCTCGATGTCCTGAGCTGCTTAGGCTGGTTTGGCACCAGCTTGGGTTTGGGCCGTTTGGTGTGATTTTCTGGAACAACAAAGCAGCACCAGCCAACCAACCTAAATCAAAAGCACACAGTCTAAATCAACACCCCAGCGAGTGGCAGGAACACAAAAGTGCTTGCCATGCACTTCCCCCTCAACGCGGACATCGCCAACGAAGCCCTGCCCACGTAGGAGCTCAAGACCCAGGATTGGCCTGCGTGCGGCAACTGACCAAAGGCGGTGCCCCCGGAGAAGACAAGGGAGGGTTCCAGCATAACCTGCCGCTTTCCACTGCGCGTAGCTCATGTTGTTGGTGAGGTCCCACACCAGGTGTGGACGGGCTTGACCTTCCGGGCAATCCTTCATCACCACCTCGTCCAACCTGACTGTCAGGGTCACGGTCAAGGGTCTCGGTCTTGGTGAAATTGCCTTGGCCTTGGGCCTTGCCATAATTTATGTTTAGTTTGGCCCACTGTGTTAAACTAAACAACTACCAAGAGACACCCACAGGTGAAGGTACAAAAGGTCCTGTTCCCGTGGCGGCAAACACCTGCTCCACTCATTGCTGTAGAGATCAAACAGCTCCCTGGGCTCTGGAACCTTGGCCGGCTGGCAGGCAATTTAAAGAAAAAACAATCATAGGACCCGCTTCTCCGTTGCTTTGTCTGTTTGTGTGAGTGTACTTTTTGCAAAGCAACCGTGCGGTTGAGCTTGTCTGTGAGAAATCTCTTTGCTTCTTGATGCTTCCCAAAACACTTGGGCCATGTCATGCCCGAGGCCATGCTATCCACAATCTCCTGCTCATGGTTTGCCTTGCGCCGACGAGATTTCAATGTTGAATGAAAGTCACAAACTCTCTGGTCCGTGGATTCGAGCATCAATCCTTGGGAAAAAAGGACAAAATAATGCAAAAGTCAAAATTGGTTGTTGAATATGTTTTCGGGATTTGTGAATGCAATCTGCCACAAACCTCAAACAGCAAAACAATTAACTTTCAACATGTTCAACTCAACTCTCGAATCAAGAAACGAGAAAAATCCGCTGATCCACCCAGCATTTGTGCAATCTCCTGGCGGAATTCTTGTAACTGGACTAGACTTTACATAACTATATGGAAAGAACGTATTTTGAAGTGCATGTGTTGCTGTCTCGTTGTGTCCTTGAGTTTCTCAACCCATTCACTGGGATCACAAAGAAGCTCAACTTGTGATGGATCGACGGCCAACATATATAGCCTAGTTCGACTTTGCGGCACTCCAAAGCTTGAGCTGTTAATGAAGAGGCCCTGCGCAGCATAGGAAAGCTTGCCGAGTTCTGCTGCGAGCACGCGCTCGGTAGCTTTGCTGGCAACATTCTCCAGCAATACGATTGCCTCGCACTTCTCAACGGCCACAATCCCTCCCCCCCAATCACTTTGAGCAACATGAGGAATCTTGGACGCTGACCGGCCGATTGTCCTTGATGTACTCAAGAGATTTGGCCAATGTCTTGGATGACATTCCTGACCTGAGTGGATGAACAGGCCAGGCTAGGTTCAGACAGCGTGGTGGCCGTTCCATTGCAAAGTAGGCGTTAGGCTGCGCACGATTCATCGATTTGTAGGCACAAAGGCTTGCGGGAATTGTTCATGCATGAAAGGTCCTGCCATCTGGCATCCGAGGTCAACATGTTGATTGACTGGGTTTTTGCTTCTTTCTGATTTCTGATTTCTGACGGTCCTGGCATTCGAAACCACCGGTGTAAATTTGGACGGATGGCGCTTTGACTTTCTCATTGCCGCTCAGCCAATCGCGACCAACACCTTTTCGCCGCTCCTGGCTAGGGCAGAGTCTCCGGGCAGAGTGCTTATAGCACAGATCAAGTTCAAGTCGTTGAGCTGTGAATCATTGAAAACATGCACAAAAACGAGCAGTAGGCAGCAGTAAGCCCCTGGCAAGTAGATCGTCAAAGATTACTTCCGGCTGCAGATTGAATTGTAGCAACGCCTTTTGATGCAAACCAGGTCTCCCTGGCGCTTCCGAGGCAAATTTGTGCTCCAAAGGCACCTGCATTGCCAGCTGCATTGCATATACAACGAGAACCAGTCTGGAGTCTGCATTAGTTTCACACCAATGCAATTGGAATCGCCCATGCATGCAGTCCCAGCAGCTTTGCAACCATGCGCGCCCAACTTCTGCAGCAATTCACGGAGCCCCCCAGAACGGAGCATCAATGCCAGAGCAATCGCTGCCATATGACAGCGGTCGCCCTTGGGCAACTAAGTTCGCAGCCAGTTGCTTACCAAATTTCGTGCATACTGCATCTACCCATTGGAGGCCGTCACGGCCAGCCATGTCCGGGTCAAAGCTAAACTCGGGCGTGGCCTCTACCACGTCCTCCAAGGAGGTTTTCCTGCTCAAACGCCGGCATGGTGTCATGGTGGGAACCTTCTTCTCAGGCTTGATTTGGCAGCTCAACACATGACCTGGAAAATCGCGGCTAGCGCAAACCATAAAAAATTCAACCTTAAATCATGGCTGCAGTGTGACAAGGAAAAGCAAATAACTAACACTGGATAACACTCCTTGGCCTTGTGCAGGCAGGAGCTTCGGACATAGATTGCGCTCGAAATCAGGGCCAGACATGGCCGCCTGGTCCAGCTCCATGAAATCAATGAGATCAGGTTCAAATTTTGCCTTAAAACGGGGAGCGGGAGTCCGAACTAAGAACTCAAACAACTAAACTGTGTGGCAATACTGAAGGAAGGCTGTATTTGTATATGTTACATGTTTGCTTGCTTCCTTGGTGTTTGGACCCCAGGCTCTTGAAAAAAAACACCACCCGTCGCACCACTCAGCGTCAAACCATCACATTCCGCCGACCATCTTCTGCGCACATCTCTGAAGCACGGGCTGCCAACTCCTCTAACTCATCCACGGCTGGCTCAATGTCCTTGTTGGTATCAACTTGCGCCACCTACAGCCACAATTGCGCCACCAATGCGACAGATCGAAATCATTGGACATCAAGAACATATGTTAACTGTTTATCAATCCACAACTGCAAACTGATTGGCAAAATCAAACAACAAAAGCAAATCTGCTGTAGCGGTTTCAATAGCCAGCCCTGTGCCCCTTCTTCACAATCTGTCAACAACTGACTTTCTGAACCCCGTGCCAGCCTGTTCACCTGGAACACCACCTGTGGATTCAGCAGCAACACCTAGCAAACTCAGCAAGAAGTTTGGCGAACAGCAAGATGGTTTTTGAGCAGTGGTGTTTGTAGCGTTTGTCGGTGACATCAATTGTTCTCGGGCCCGCATTTGAATTTGTTCATTCTAACAGAACAGGCCTGAGCAACGTGGATCAGGACGGTTGTTTTGCTCAGGCGCCTCAAGAATCACCGGCTCCTGGCAACGCAACTATCGCCGATTGCTGCCAAACACTGAGCAGTTTGAATACTTTTTTTGGGCCGTTTGGCCCTAGAAGCAACAAGCAGCTGGCAGGCGCTGATCCAGAAGTTGCAGGACTCGTTTGTTTGTCAAGTCCCACCTCCAACATGTCCAGAGGATCATCATCGCAGTCAAAGTCGAGGTCATTCCGTTCAGGTAGCTTGTCGACTAGCGCAGTTGCTGGCTTCGGCTGACAAGGGGCCTAGCACGGCCACAGTACAAATCCTGTGCAAATCCCGTCTTGGCTGTTTGGCAGTGAAGCTCACAGCGCGAATTACCAAGGAAATTCAGGTTCCAAGCCTCCAGACAATCCAGTGGGTCTTCATCCAAGGAATCCATCTGGTGGACCGTGAACTGAACTAACAGTCCACATGGAGACTGCACAACACTAACTTAAACCAAAAAGCGAACATTGTTTGTCTGTCTGTGTTCACTCCCCTGGGCATCAGATATTGATCCTAATCAATATTCTTGAAAAAAATCAACAATTTCTATTGATTTGGGCGCGTGCTTTTTCAATAGAAATTCTTCCTCAAAGCCAAGCAAAAATCAATAGGAAATTC